AAGACTTTTTAAAGATGTTTGTAAGAAGGAATAAACTTAAATGTCTCATGTCTAAAGATCCTTAAATCAAGATAGATTTACTAGAAAAGCAAAATTACATAAAATATTAAAATGACTCAAAATCAAGTGAGTTTGTGATTAAAACAAGAACGAATATCTGCCAGCTGGCTCAGAAAAATCATGTTAATTCAAAACGGGATTTATATCCTCTTGACATAATAAAATAACTTCATATTGTTCAATTTGTCAAGATTTTACATTTGTATTCTCAAGTAAATGTACCTTGATTTAACTATGTTAAGGTATTTTTTTGGAAAATAAAAATACAACATGCATGCAACATTTAATGCCACAATTTTATGAATTCAAGACTCCCTGCTCTAATTTAAAGCCTTTTTAAGGCCTTAATTTGTTGAAGGACAAATTAAGACTTTTTAAGACCCGCACAAACCCTGAATCCATCAAGTTAGTATTAACTTTATCCACAAACAAGCATTTTCTTCATGCAATATATACTTTCCTGTTTTTTTTATAAAAAAATAATGAGAAAGATGTTTTCTTTTTTGCAATGCATGCAACATTTAATGCCACAATTGTATGAATTCAAGATTTTCCGCTCTGATTTAGGACTTTTTTGGGTCTTAATTTGTGGAAGGGAAAATTAAGACCTTTTTAAGACCCATAGAAACCCAGCATCCATCATGAGAGTATTTAATTTATCCACAAACAAGCATTTTCTTAATGCAATATATAATTTCCTAACTTTTTTTATTAAAAAAAACAAAAATACTGAGAAAGAACATCAAGTTAGTATTAACTTTATCCACAAACAAGCATTTTCTTCATGCAATATATACTTTCCTGTTTTTTTTATTAAAAAATAATGAGAAAGATGTTTTCTTTTTTGCAATGCATGCAACATTTAATGCCACAATTTTATGAATTCAAGACTTTCCGCTCTGATTTAGGACTTTTTTGGGTCTTAATTTGTGGAAGGGCAAATTAAGACCTTTTTAAGACCCATAGAAACCCAGCATCCATCATGAGAGTATTTAATTTATCCACAAACAAGCATTTTCTTAATGCAATATATAATTTCCTAACTTTTTTTATTAAAAAAAACAAAAATACTGAGAAAGACATGATTTGCTTTGCAATGCATGCAACATTGAATCCCACAATTCTATGAACACAAGACTTTTCTGCTGTGATTTAAGAACTTTTTGGGGGCTTTAATTTGTGGAAGGGCGAATTACGACTTTTTAAGACCTGCAGAAACCCTTCGTGTTAGTATTTGATTTATGCATTTTCTTCATGCAAAATACAATTGCCTATTTTTGAACTGAAATATGACCTTTCATTGTTAGCTTCTCCTAAGAGTGAAACTTACCTGCAATTTTCTAAGCAGATACGAGCCAAAACAGTGGAAACAATACAAACGGCTGGCAAGATTTCTGCCAAAACCGCAGACATCTGGACTGCGAACACCCTCCGAACACAATCTGCTCCTAAAACAACTGTAAGTCTGTACGTCCTAACTCCAGCAGGAGAATATTAATTATCAGCAGACATTAAGGCCTGCAGATTGAATCTGGCACGCATTAAAGCCGTGCATGTTACCACGATCGCTCGTGGACCTCCTGAGGGGAAAGATGTCTAGATTTTCTCTCCCAAAAAGAGCAGAATGCATTTACATGCTTAACAATGTGCCGTTCCCTCAGCTAGCAATTTTCCTCCTTTAATTCAACTAACACAATCTCATCAAATATTAATATCGCTCTTGAGCTGTCTCTGACGGAATGGAAGAGAAAATGAAAAAATAAAACAACAAAAAACGCCTCCATTCGAATGGATCCAAAAGAGCAGAACACAAACTCACAAGGATTATTATTTGATCTTATCAAGGACGCAGAGCTTTGCATCTTTATGTTCGGGCTGGCATTATTAATGCATTTTGCTCTCTAATCATGTCTTACAGAGAAATACATTTGTTGCCGTTTTCAATTCAGCGCCGCGTGTTCTTTTAAACGAAGCAAATTGCATTCTGTAATTAGGCAATTAGTGCTTCTAATCTCTAAACTTTTAATCTAATAAAGTAAATGTGATTCATTTTCCCCTGATGTCAGTTCTGGCACTCTTTCATTCTCTCCAAGCAAACAAAACAGGAGAAATGCCGTTTGATTGCCTACAAAACTGTGAAGCGATCAGCTCTCTGTGAAGCAGAAAAATAATGAGCAAAGTTTACTCGGTTCGGTCTGTCTACTACATTCTTGGCTGTGCGTCGTTTGTCGTTTAAGCAATGATCCGGCCAAATGTGAATCTAACGCAAGCGATGGTTCGATATAATCGATGCCGTAAACCGCAACCCTTTATGTTCTCAATAGTCTTGTTTAGTCAAATCAGCAGCTGTGTGTGATGATAAGCCTCGACTTTGAAGCGATGCAGCCATGTTTGGTTTCTTTACGCCAAAGCGTTGGCCATCTGAAGCATTCCTACGGCATTCACAACAGCTGCGTGCATTAAGCATTTAGTCAACTCGTGGAAGGATCTGGAGACAGATCAAGTCCAGCACTTTCAACTACAAACGAATCACAGGCAGGAATCTTTACACTTACTACCCACAGCCGTACGATTACAGTCACATTACAGCCACCTGATCGGGATCTCTAGTGCCCAGGCAATCGAAAACATTTGCACTTAATTGAAAACCTGCTTCAGTAAAATTGCACGAGCCGCCAGGCTTCCCGAGACGAATCCAAAAATAAACAGCACCTCGTTCTTTTAATTAAAGGTGAATCAGCTGGCCTGTGGCAAAACGCCCCGAACCAAACCCAGCCTTTCTTAAACAGCTCAATATAAGATGACAGCGGGTTACGGGCCAGGAGAGGACTCTCGGGGTCCCTGAAGAAGAGAATTGAATGGGTTGTCCATACCATCCGTTCCTGTTCTCTCAACACCTTTGCTGCTGACGGTTAAACTTCACGGCTCCCGTCACATCTCGGCCCGTCTAATCAGGTTGGACTTAAACAATGAGACAGGGCTAAACCGAATGCACGCACAAATGAGGATTGATGCAGTGCATATCGCCTCTACCTGTGTGATGAATGGCTCTGAGTAAACAATCGGATGGACTCAGAGGCGTGAGGGATTGACGCGGGAATACTGCGTCTGCTCATGCACGCTTTCCTGTTAGACTTTAAATAGCAGCCCGAGACAAAGCGCCACAACAATCCAGGTTTCAATTACATGCTGATGAATTCCAGAGACATTAATAAAGAGAATTAAGCAACAAACAAACATCTAAAAATAACTTGCACATGCACTTGAATGCACAATGCTCAATTCCAGACTGTAGGTTCAGTATCTCAGGATATCAAATAATTTGCACAAGTTTCAAATATATATTTTTATTAAGCGCTTTACTTCACTTACACGGGTTTGCTGAACTGGCATATAAGAAGTCCCTTAAGTGCCCTACTGCATCTACCAAAGGCAAACAAAACAAAAAGTATTCACTGCTAATCAGTTGATACTGTACACGCATTAATCCATGTGAATTCCCATAGAGAGAAAATCCCACAAATATATAAAGAAGTCGCTCTTTGTTCCCAAATATTCTTACTTGAACTGTAAAGAAATACAAAAGACAAAAAATGTAAACATTGCACTTATTTACCGCAATTAATATGTTGTTATTATCAGCATTATTTTTAATAATCAATGCAATCTGCTTTTTAGAGGAGCTCTACCATGGTATTTTCGTGTTACTTTGGAGTACAATGGCACATATATATATATATATAAAACAATCATTCAATACCATATTATATATCAAAATACCATAGTAATACCACCTGACGTCATCTGTAGTGTACCATGGTACCGCCAAAGTGCTTTTTACAGAAAAGACAATAATTGACCATGGCTGTTTAGGGCATGGTGCCATGGTAACACCATGTTTTATTGGACATTTATTATTTTAAGCATCTTAGAACACCATGCAAATACCATACGAAAACTTAGTAAGCAAAAAGCACCATGGTATGACCATCCCTGTACCACGGTGCTGCCACACTAAGTATCAATAGAAAAAAATAATCATTACCTCTGTAAGAAAGTGATTTGCAATGGTTTTCCGATACTGTACCATGATACTACTATGTTTTATTGCCAGTGCTGCTTTATTTCTTTACATATATCAGAGTACCATATCAAATACACCATGGTATTATTTCCGTCACTGTGCCATAGTACTCCTACACTCCTTTCCAGTAAGTACTAATAAAAAACAATCATGACCTCAGCAAAAATTCCTTACATACATTAAATTACCATGCAAATACAAAGGCACATGGACATGGTAATCCTTTCAAAGTACCATGGTAATACCATCACTGCACCATAGTACCTGACTTTCTTGTATTAATACTAAACAACTGTGACCTCAGCAAAAATAAATAGATAAAACATTTACAGTGTTTCTGGATACTGTGCCATGGTACTACCATATTTATTATATCAATCATACTATGATATTTCCTTTCATATATTGGAGTACAATGCAAATACCATGGTACACACGTTTAAACAATTCAGTACCACACACACACACGCGCGCGCGCATACATACATCTCTCTCTCTCTCTCTCTCTCTCTCTCTCTCTCTCTCTCTATATATATATAATATACTATCAATACAAAGCAATCATGACTTCAGCACGATTTACAATGGTTTCCGAATACTGTACCATGGTACTATTGAAAGTACGGTGGTATTTCTTTACATGCATTGAAGTAACATGCAAGTGCCATTGTATTTCAGAACCATTAAAACCCAGAACCACAGTATTACGATGCCATCACTGTAGGCTGCCTCCTCAGTACTTTTAACAACGCTCGTTCTAGTATAAAACAAACAATTAAAGCAATTCTTTCAGACATGAGAGTAACATCGCGCACGTCTCTCTATAATGAATGTTGTGCAGGTGACAGAAACGCACCTGTGTTTCCTCGCGAGCGCCGAGCTGAGGAACCCATCGCTCCGCGCGCAGGAACTGTTCAGATCGGTTCGGTTCGGTTTTACTGTCTGTCGTGTCTCCTCTCGAAGTGTCGGTTCCTCCTGAAGAAGAGCAGAAGTCAATCACATCACTCCTCGAGGAAACGAGCGGAGCTGCTGCTTCCTTTCTTTCTTTTTCTTTTTCTCTTTCTTTCTTTCTTGCTTTCTCTTTATTTTTCTTGCTTT